GGGTGAGGTCTGGAGTCCAGATTAGGACTGAATCGCCTTTAACGTAACAACTTCCTTCTGCATAAGTGCAAGAGTCAACCTCGCCTGCCGGAGAGGACAGCTTGCCATCGTAGGTAGCCGTGACCGAAAACTGAAATAGGTAACGGTTCACGGCTTCAACCACCCTTTCGCTAAAACTCCCAATAAAGAGATTTGGGAACTCAAAGTCCAATTTATTTTCAGTCTGATATATTTCGCCCTTCAAAGATAGTACTCCATGCCGGCATGCTTTATGTTTTATGATTTGCCAACATTCGTTGACAGTTAAGGGATAATTCTCCGTCTCCGTTTGGGTAAATTTATCATTGAGAAAATTGGTATAATAATATACCCTCTTGCGCATTATTCGGCACACATAGGCCAGGGTCCCGTAACGTATGGTGTTAGGCCTATATACCGTGAAGGTTAAATTTTTCACATCACTCTCGTTTCCCAAATTCAAAGTCGGACAAAGTGGACGGCTAGGCATTCTCCACTACATATGTGATTGCGTCATGTGACATACCAATGGCTGATTTGGGGTGTTAAGCGCAAAAGGATTCAATAAAAGCGCGCTTATAATAGCGATTTTCAATAGTGTTGACGGATAACTCCATATGCTAGGAAATCTCAAAGTTGAAGATGGAGCTGACTCAGTCGCCTGTTTCACATCGAGCGCCATACAGTAAAATTCATCAGCTCCGTCACATGCGGTCACGCTACCCTGAAGCAAGCACCCTGCCTCTGGGGTCCACAAATCTTGGAAATTGCACTGTATCGCCCTGTCAGTGTGCCTTCGCGCAGACAATTCCGGCTCATCGGTTCTGTCTCTAATAACTGAATTGATGGTTGGTCTAGATCCTCCGTCACCTTGGCTCCCCAAAAATAATCGCCGACGATTCTCATTGAGTTACCTCACATCCAGGTTGCGCCTCACTTGAGTTTCGCTACGGCTGGCTCTGCTCTGCATTGATGGTAGAGGGGTACGACCCTGAGTTCTTGGCTGCGGAGGGCTTATATGGTGTGGCGCCTGCTGGCGCCACATCAGGATAGGTGGCTGACGAAGATAGCAATCATAGGCTAGATGTCCAACCTTCCTACATTGTGTACAGTAAGGACGCCGGTCATAATGTCTCTCAAACCGATGCCCTCTCGTACAATGTCTCGGTCGTAATAGTCATTTCGCGGACACCGCCTTGTCGAGATGGTTCATACCTAAGTGAGCTGTTCTGATTTGCGTGCTATTGAACTGCAATCTTTCTGAGTTCTCTCTTAATTTCGGCAAGGTCATTTTTCAACGCATTCTCTAGACCTGATACACTAACACCCATCTGGTCTTTCGCATATCGCGATGGATCAGGGGCAACTATGCCATTGACCAATGCACTGATGGAGTCAATATCTGTATTTAAGACTAGACTTTCGACATTTGGGCTTTCAAAAAGGCTTGTTCGAAAGCAGTTGGCTCGGCCTTTTGGGCAAAGAATTTTATCTTTCAATTTAGGCCTGCATTAAAGCGATCCATGAGCAAATCCTTAAATGTCTGTCCACTTAGGCCCACAGTCGCAGCTTTCATTGTTCGCCTGAGGCGTTCAGCATAAGTGGTGACAGGTTCACCTTCTTTCTGTTTGCAATTCATTAGTTTTTGTCCCGCCATGTTGCGTATTTTCGGGGACTCAAACATTTCCTTGAACCGAGCTACTACTTTATTAAGTCTTCTTTCTCTTCCTCAGCTAACTCCTCGTATTCCTCTCTTGGCAGCCCTTCTAGGAAGAAATTCAGCTTCTTTGCCTTTTTTCTGTTGGACCACTGTCTTTGCTGGGCCTCAGCATAATCTTTAAACTTCATCACGTGATCTTCCTCCGCTTGCTGCAAATAGGCGTACAATCATTCCTGGGTAAACACGTATCTGTGAAAACTGAAGAACGCTGATGAACAGACAACAATTGTGGTGCCCCTTTTATTCTATATCGTAACTCAATAGGATGTATCTAAGTCTAAAACTCGATGTTATGTTGTTGCCACAGATAATTTCGTAGTAATTAGACTTCTGCTTATTCTATTAAAACTCAGTGTTAAAGAAGAGCCTTTTGCATCGGGCTCTATATCGCGAACCTAAAAGTTAATATTTTAAACTAGTGGCGCGCCCTGCGTATAAGTGTGTATGTGGAAGACACCTAGTCATACACACATAAGTACGTGAAATAATAAAAGGCAATACAAAAAAGGTGGTGAAATTCTGGGGAGTCGAAGCTCCCCAGAGCAGGGATAAAAAGAGAGTAGCTTCTCGTGCGGTTTAAACTAGCTTTGGAATACCGATGATAGTGCTTTTATATCGCAGAAGTCAGAGATTACTAGGTAGCAAAGCTTTAACGAAGGTAGGGTGCCCAAAGTTTGAACCATGGACCGGGGTATTGCATCACAGTGATGCAATTTTTCTTTAAGTCATTTATAACAAAACCCAGGCTAGAACGCACCAGGCGAGCCGGCACGATCATGCGTTTTTGCACAGTTTCTTGTGGATTTTTAGTGCTGTATTAATACGACTTGTGCTCGCGTTGGCTTTACTGAGCATCTTTTATTTATTTTATTTTTTCCCTAAACATCATTATGAGATCACATGCGCTTTATCTGCGTTACTGGACATTGCAAGTTCAAATTATCGTAAAAATGGCTTCATTTGATGCGATGAGGACGTGTAGCGGTTTCCCAATATTTATTTTCTTCCGCTATGAATTGTGAGAATCGATCTTGGCTGCCGGCTGCGACTGCTGTTTTGCCGCTGTGGTGATAAAGCAGATTTATACTTTAATCATTTTATGCGTCGTATTTGGCCCAGATGGGCTCATGACAACTAATCAGAGAGATGTATTTGCCGTGACTTATGTTGAAATTGCTTACAATCAGGTCAAGGGTTGTATTTGCACTGGTATTAGGTACATTTGCATTCTACATTTTTACCCCAAATTCTTCCACCGTTTCCTCAAAACGAGGATTTGCTGTTTCAGCAATGTTGTGATTAAAATCACCCAGTATCAGTTTCCGTCCCTCTTCCTCAGAACAACTCGCTGGAAACGACCGAATGACGCCGTTTGTTGCTTCGAGACTTGCGTACGCTCTTGCAATGAGCACAGTGCGTAGTTTCTACCCGGTCCTCATTTCCTTCAATTCTTATGGAGGCTGGGTCGCGGACACCACTCAGCAGCCGCTGCGATACCGAGCAGCATGCTCCGCAGGCTCCTCTCGCCGGTCCCGTGCAGTCAACACGTGCAACCGTCTTGTAACCGCTGATGTTGATTTCATCTGCGGGCATTGCCCAAGTCTCTCCGAGAGGCATGACGTCACTTGCTGTGTAGACGGTGTCATTCTCTGTCTGGTTGCGGTGTCTCGCAAAGCTCTGTTTATTGTGATCTATAATCTGGATAGCGGAACGTTCTGTTCGGAGAAATTTGAGGTGGGGCTGAAATAAGTAGTGCTCCTGTCGCCTCAGTTCAACTCGCAATGGATCATTTGGATGCGGCTGACGAGGGGTGGTGAATGTGCCAATCATGTACAGCCCGGAAAGTGACGTAACTCTGGACAACGCCAGGTACAGCAAAGCCCGAGTTCTTAGTTTGTAATTAAAAAAAAAATCAGCTGCGCGTAAGAGGTTTATGAGCTTAATCCATACACGCAGTTGTATGTGCGATAAGTTCTTGGCATTCAAAATGCCGGGGAATATCTCAACTTACTCCTTATATACGAAGCATGCATACAACGATTGATGGATGATGATGAATGCATGCATGGCGGCGTACTGTAGAGCAGTATTCGGTCGACCACTGCGTTTCCTCCACGTGGTCACATTCACGTTTGCTGTGCATGCCTGAGCGGTTGTACTCGTTTGTTCGGCTGAACAGGGTTTTCGTCGTGAAGAGTACTGCTTGACGTGGTGCGGTAAAGCGTGGTGCAAGTAGCGAGTGGAAGGGAGGGGGGAGTAGGGGAGATTTTAGCTTTTCCCCCACTTTTGGTGCCTACGACTACTACGTCCTTCTGATACAGCAGAAACAGTTTGCGATATGCTACTGTTGCATTTCTAGATATACTATGCTCTGACCTCTTCCGGCATGAGGGAGGAAGGACGTCGGTTGGGATGAAGGTACTACATTATTCGGCCGCATGGACCACGAGGCACATGAGTGCCAGTTTTTTACATGAAGCTCGGTTGTTTTTTCGGCAAATGCTCGCTTTATGAAAAAATGACAAATGCAAATTTTTCGAAAAAAAGCAAATTTCCAGTTCACTAAAAAGTGGAAGTATTGCTCGAGCGGTCGTTTGTCAAAAAGTCCATTTACGCAAATTAACTAATGTTCATTTACATATTTGGGTGAGGGCGATCGTTCGCTGCAAAACGCACTCGTTTCTGATTTTTCGGTAAAGTTGAGTATTTCTCATGCTCACCTGCAGGGAATTCTACCTCCAAGCAGAATTAAGACTGTACTTGAGGGTAGAATATTCCAACGAATTTTCAGTTTCGCAGCTTATCCGGTAAGCAGAATATCCATTTCGCCACAAATATTTTTGAATTGCTCTAAGTCGTGGCGCAAATGCAAATCGGTACTCATTTTAGGTATACTATTTGCTATGTGGGAAACAAACATCCTAACGAGATTTCAGCCAATGTTTTCCGGCAAATTTTCGAGCTAGCGTAGCAGCAAGTTGCAAACTTTGACGTGGTCGCGCACACTGCACAAGCACGCGCGGCAGCTGAATTTGAAATCTTTTGCTCGCACACTCACAGAAAATATCCCTGCAAAGTTCCAGCTTTGTACCCTGTCTTGTTCGCCGTTTCCGCCAAAGGAATCTGCATATCCTTCGGGAGGGTCCGTACGCGCGGCCTAGGCGTGTATGGAGGAAGATCTTAAAACGTGAGGATGACGCACGGGGTAGAAACACATATCCAAACTTTCAGCCTCCCAGCTTTCCTAGTTGCTGAGATGAAACTGGGTGACAAAATGCACTCACTTCCTAACACACATACAGACAGCCTCTCGACAATATGCATTTTTGCTGGCTGTAGCAGCGCTATAGCGCTGCACAGGCAAGACGCATAAAAACCATATATCATTATTTGATATATTATGTGACAGCACATATATATACATATATATATATATATATATATA